CTTAATAGCTTGTTGAATAACATGTTACACAAAATTGTAAGAATCTATTTGCAGAACAACTGAGTTAGGCGCTTGTCCAAAAAATTGTTTGAAAATTCATTTCATAAGTTATATATATACAATTAAATCATAATTTAATCATAGTATAAGCAATGATGGATAGTGGCTAGCAGTGGGATCCAGGACGTGCGTTTCATCCTATTTGGGACTCGTTAGCTGGATCTACCTGTATCTTAGAGTTGATGTCCACTTTGGGACTCGAACACAGTGTTGTGAACAAGAACACTAGTTGGGGACAATCGAATGTATTTTAGCACAACATTAAGTAATATCTCATTAAAATATGAGAACCGTATGGCGAATAGTTAATTTGTGAAATAACAATTAATTGTCTCAATTTGACTGTTCCTTCTGCGAATATCCGTCCATAGGCTTCGATTATAATTGTTCATGCATTTTCTTACCGATTGCATGCCGTTCTTGTTCTCTCCTTATCGATATTCTACTGAAATACATTCAATGCTCGACCATCACCATTTACTACTTATGTGAATACCAGTAACTCACACCACATCAGTACCTTTCGCTTCAAACGCCATCGTGTTATCCACTTAGCTACTGAGTCCTGATAGCCATTTGCTTGTGCAATAGGGTGAAGTTTAAATTCACTTGTTGTTGTTTATTTGTATCTTCCTATTGTTATTTAGGACTGCAATTGATTAGTGTCTTATTGGCATATGCCAACAATACCAAGTGGACTTAATGACAGTGTTATAAAGATGGTTTACTGGAAAAATGTGTACATTTCGAAGTCAATTTCACCCATAAACTGTAATAAATCATGAAACGAATTATAAACTTAAAATAACAAACATTAGAAAGCTATCCTGTTTTTTTCGGTGACGTCTTTATAATGTACACTGATTACTGCACAAGGGGTCGAACACATTACATTCAACGAATGAAAGAAAAGTTTCCATTATAATTTTGTGTATAGATCCTATAAGATAATATATATATATTGAATGAACTTCATAAATTGTGAACTTTTGGATTCTGTCTCAGAGGTTTACAGACAACAACTTAACTGTGAAACTTAAAATTGAAGGTTTCATTTCCTATCTGGATTCATAGATATGCCTTAATTAAATTGTTTAAATTTTATATAGTTGAGACAATAAGTCAAATGAAGCTTGATCACCATAGTAAACCTGCAAGCGTTGGATGGCAGTTTCTATCGTGGGACTCTCAGCAATGAGCCGGCCGGCATCCAACGGTATTAATGTGTAACTTCAACCAATCCAGGAAATTGAGGAACCATTCACCATTTGTCTTCAGTGAGTTGATATCTCACAACAGACCTGGTTTGAACTCCACTGGTCACTGCTTCTCATTAGAACTCCAGGAAATACCTCATGGAGCCAGTCACTATTGAGTATATGATCATTATTAGACGAGTTTTTTGTGGATTAAATTTTGTTCACTTCTCTTTAATTTTTTATTCCACTTGAATTCATGACATCTCTTGTCTGTGGTACTTGTTGCTTGATTATACTCTCATTTTGATAGTGTTTTTAAAATTTGAACTGGAAACCATTACTTCTCACATGAAACGCCATACACGTTATTAGCTTAGTTACTGAGTATCGGGAGCCGAAAACATACTCAGAGTACATGGTTTACTATTCGTTATTAATCACAGTTTGAAATTACCCCGAACTTAATTTGAACAATGATATAATTCAAAGTATTTCTAATGACAAAGGGAGGAATTTCCGTTTATATATATATATATATAACTATGAGGCAACATTAGTGCTATATAGATTGAGTACGTGCCCTGTGTGATACATAATGTGAACGTGGTGATTCCCACCAGTTAGAGAGCAGTGAATTTCTTGATTGCCCAATGAGACACAAAAGCCGTACGAACAATCTTGAGCACAGATCAGTCCTTCTATCTACGTAGTCCAGCTAATTAAGTTCAAATCACCAATAACAGCCTCCACAATATGAATTATTATTCTCAAACTTATTGGATTCATATACTAAACAAACTGACCACATCGTACCATAAAATATAAAATAAAATTTGTATAAGATTTGACCAAATGTGGCTGTGAATAGGGGGAACAGTAATCAATAGACTGGATGTAATTCATGAATGATAAATCGTATAATAATAGTTCATCGGTCAAAATAAATTTCATAATAAAAGGAAAATGAATATGAATAGTTTAGTTACTTAACGATTATACAATAAGAAATATACATATCACTATAGTCCACAAATAGTTCTCAAAGTTACTATTCATTAATCTCCATAGAATATAACAAGTAGTTTTATTCATACACAAAACGATGTAAATCAGAAAATCAATGATCATCAGTTTATCAAATAGTAGAGAAACGCAATTAGAAGATAAAGTAGCATTAATTGATTCGTGTTTTTTTTTTTTAATAGTTTGCATGTTAGTGGATAATAAAAAATCCATATGAGAACAAAAAAAGTTGGGTAGTACTTACCAGTTTTTAACTGGTTGTTTAACTAAAGGCAATGTATGATATCAATTACAAAGTCAATAATTTTTATAATTGAAGGGCAGCTAAATACTCACTAGTATAGAGCTTCGAAAGGAGTACATAGTTCAGATTAGATTTCATTATTATCCTATTTTGATATATGATGATTAGGAAGTATCAGGTATTGATTGAAATTAAAAATGTCTATGTTATATCTAGAGCCTTGATTCTTGATATGCTGCATACTACTAGACTACTTGAATGATCGAATCCGCAACGTAGTAGGAGAGAAGATAGAAGACTAGTTAGTAAAAATTTTATTCCCCAAACAGTGTCAAATATAATAAGCAGAGATGGATAGTGGCTAGCAGTGGAATCCAGAACTCGCGTTTCGTCTTATTTGAGACTCGTCAGCTGGATGTACCTGCATCTCAGAGAGGCAATACGCACAGTATGCACATATGCCAATTAGAGATTGAATAGTTGCACTTCTAACACATCAATGTGAAGATTCAAACAAACAATACTAAATGAATTTAAGTGTCAAATATAGTACAAAAATTTCATGTATTTATAGTCTTTTCTGGCTGAAAGTAAATAATCATTTCGGACAGCCAATAAGCACATAGGGGGTACTTCTTATTCATCCGATAGGGAAGATACATGTCGACATTCTAGAATGTTGCCCTAGTGGTGATTGGATGGAATGTCCTTGGACTTTTTTTGAGCTTCTTGAGGCTTCTTTGAGTTTACCAACGAACTATCCTTATAGTATACCATTTGTATTAGTCGTTTAATGGTTAAGAGCTCATTTTGAAGCCTAGATGGTTTGTGAATGAGTGTTTCTTAAGAGTTTCTCTCCTATAAAATAGTCGTACACTACTTTACAATAAATTAATGCTTGTAAGCTTGAATGATATATGAATGATAACAATTCTTTTTATTGAAATTTAATATTCATTACTAACAGAAGTTAGCTGTTTAACTAATAAAGACGAATGAGCAATGATAATGGAACACTGTTGGGGCCTATCGAATGTACTTGAGCACACATTACGGTCTATCCGAATAAATTCTGATAACCATACAGTATACAGTTAATTTGTAAACTATCAGTCAATTGCCGTAATCTTGACTGCTCCTTCAGCAAATATGTGTTCATCTTCTCTGATTTCATTATTCATGCATTTTCAGACCGATTGCTCCTCGTTCCTAATCTTTCCTTATTGATCTTCTTCTGAAATACATTTTATGCTTGACCATCACCATATACTACTTATGTGGATATAAGTAACCCACACTACAATAGTTGTTTTACCTTGGTAAAGATTACCTACATATTTAATCATACACAAGCTTATTCATCTTGAATAATATCATACTGTTTTCTTAAAACTAATTATCTTACAATAGTTCATTTGAAATACACAAAAAACTTCATTAGGATTTCATTTTTATAAAAGTTTATACTTACTTATTTACGCCTGTTAACCCTCGTGGAGGAGCATAGGCCACACACCATCATTCTCCATCCAACCATGTCCTGGGCAATCCTTTACAGTTCTTTACAGTTAACATTCACCCTTTTCATATCTGCTGCTAGTTCCCAGCATAATATGTTCTTTCACCTTCATCTTTTTCGCTTCCCTTCACCATTCCAAGTTAGGGCTTGCTTCGTGATGTAGTTCAGTGATTTCCTGAATGTATGTCTTGTCCACTTCCAACGTATTTTCCTGGAAGCTATTTTGTTCTCTTCCAGTAAATGTTGAGTATTTTGCGTAGACAACTGTTGATTAATACTTGTACCTTATTGATTAAGGTTGTAGTGGTTATTCACGTTTCAATCTACTCTATACAGAATAATTTATTTTAATAAAACAACTTCTATAACTTTCAAAAACCAAAACAAATGAACGAAACTGAGGTTTTATATCTACTATGAAAAAGTTTATCTCTGTTTTTCTCTCACAATTTCAAAGATCCCTATTATTATTATTATTATTATTATTATTATTATTATAAGCTCTCTTCGATTTTATATTTTTTCGTACAATATAGAATCCTCAGTACAAAGTATTTCAACAAGTTTCCGTCTCCTACTTCTTTTTCAACCCTGACGATAAATATTGAGTGATCGCCAGTTAGAAGTTAGTAATCCAGTCAATTGACTTCTGAATAATTTACATTCGTTTTGTTGTATATCGCCAACAACTGCAATATCTCTGAGTAGGCCTTTCGTATTCTTTACAGCGAAAAGTTGTTCATTTTTCAGAAATGCGCTTGGATAGGTTGCGCGATGAATGGCCATAATGATGTATTAAAATAAACAAAATTAGATAAGTTGTTAAAATATATAGATCACGGGAACAGGTAACCCAGATGTTTAAGGAGGCTGCCAATGATCTCTTTTCAACGAATTCATTAGTCATTAGATTATGAACACGTCAATTTCATACCCTTTTTCTTTTCTTTTTTAGTTTTTTAAGCTTAATTCTACAACCGGTGAATTAATTATACAACAATCATTAGATCGTGAACTATTATCACTTTCAAATGGTTTACATTATTTAACTATTACAGCTTATGATCAAGGTATACCACAACGTAGTTCTAATCTTTTTATTATTATCAATATATTAGATATAAATGATAATTTTCCAATGATACATTTAATAGATGAAACAGAAAAATTTAAAAAATTTAATATCCAACAATCACCATGGCAACAAATGATTCAATCAAATAATAATCATAATCATAATAATACTATAAAAAATAATCAATTCATGATTGAACTTTGGCAATCAATATCCAATCATAATGAATTAATCAATATTTATTATATTATTAATCAATTAAATAATTATTCTATCCATACTAATATGATTGGTAATCAACCAATGAATACAATTATTAATTTTTTAATAATAAATGATCCAGATTTAAATGAAAATGGTACAGTTCAATGTTTTATTAAAAATCAATTATTGATTTATTTAAAGCAAAAAAATAATGGTGGCAACAATCATAGCAACATTAATAATAATTATAACCTTAGTGATAAATTACAATTTATCTCTATGGAGCCATTCAATTTTATTGATCCATTAAATTATCGTCAACAACAGCAACAGCAACAACAACAACAACATGAACAACAAAAGAAAGAAATGATTGTATATCACAGAAAATTCCAGAATAAAATGGATATTAATTTAACAATGAAAGAAAATAGTATAAGTAATAAAAAAAGAAAAAAAGAAAGTAGAATAGGCAGGAAACAGGATGTAATGCCTGGTAACAATACTAATAATAGTAATATAGATTCATTTTCAAATCATAATAGTTATCAATTAAGAACTAATATGGTAAGTTAAATTGGTTGGTAAATAGGTAGTGATTTTTGGTTTTTTGTTGGATTGAAAAAAATATTTAAGCTCTTTTAATTAACACCTTAAATGGCCTGGTATGGCCAAGAGTGGGGAGAGATAGCTCGAGTCCCTCTCGAAATGCTCTCACATGGCAACGCGTATACAGCCTCTAACAGGGAAATCCTATTCACTGTCTTCTCTCAACTGGGGTGTTGTTTACGTAATTGAGATGATGAAAAACGAATGTCAGATGCTTCAACCGGGTTTGTGGACATGGAAAGTCCATATAGGTGAGTTGGAAAACCCTCATGCCAAACCAATGGTACACACAGACTACAGGGTCCTGAAGGAACAAATAGCGTATGAATCAATCGTTGGTTACCGGCTGCTATGAGACTGCATCTCCTCACGTTGCTCCACTGCCTTGTGGGTTAGACCTTTAGGTCAAAGACTCCGGGTGTGGTCCCCTTACAAAACCACCTGCTTCAGTTTGGGAACCTTGGCAATATCACAGCCCTCACACAAATCAAATGAGATTAGTGTGGCGCATATATATCTGATGCCCCTTTGTACCAATATTTCTGTGTTTAAATAAATAAGCTAACTCTTTACGGCAAATTGAACATTGGAGAAAAAATTGGAATTATTGAAAGAACGGTTTACTCCGAGTTAAATTTATGTAAAGCAAATCAAGTGTATTTATCGCATATTTCAAATGGTCTTGAGCTTTTGGAAGTTTTTGTAACTTTTTTAAAACTAGTAGCGGAATGGGTAATCATCAGATCAGGAATGTGACGCTTGACTCTTGACTTTGTAGATGTTTTTGAGAAACTTCTATTCAATGTTGATTAGATGAAATGTTTACCAGCGTTTTTATGGCCCCTTTGGGCCTTTTTCAATGGAATTTTCGTGAGTCTATCAAACATAATTTGATGATAAAATATAGCTAAGTGATGTTTGTAGACCAGACTGAATTGTTGATTTTAGATCTAGCCTATTCAGATGAAATGAAGTCAGAAGATATGACAGTTGATCAATAGAATAGGTCTTCTAGTAATAATGATAAAATATAACGAAATAGTTCAACAGTTAAATGTTCAGTTTATTGAAAAAATACGTAGAATATTCATTGAACATCGACAATCTCTCACATGAGAACCAAACCTCAGACCTTCAACCACATGCACAAACACTTCAATTATAGACCACTTAGTTGTTATCTATAGGTTAAACGTGTTAGAGCTAGATCGATAGCTCCTGAGTTCAAATCCCGCGAATCGGATCTAATTTCACCATATTGATTTGTTATTTATCTTAGAAATACCAATCTTCTTCTTTTTTTTTATTACATAATAGATATTTGATCCTGATCAAATATCTGATCTATATTTACTGATTGAATGTTCGGATTATGGTTTACCATCATTAACAACTATGGAAACTATACATTTCAATATTATCCAACCTGATATTCATTCAATATCAAATGAATTACACTTTTCTCATTTACAAATATTGAATCGTTACATTATAAATGATAATCATTGTTTATATTTTAATTATTTTCAACAAAATTCTAATATACGCTCATTATTCATTAATAGTAGTAGTAGTAGTAGTAGTAGTAGTAGTAGTAGTAGTAGTAATAGTAGTAATAGTAGTAATAGTAGTAATAGTAGTAGTAGTAATAGTAGTAGTAGTATGTTACATACATACGGTTATTATAATGATTTATCTCCAGCGAAACGTATCTATCCAACTATCATACAGAATGAACAATTTGAAACTAGATCAAGTGTATGTTTAATTTTAATGGCAAATATTCAAATTTATGAACCAATATTTAATATGATAATTAAAATAAATGAGAAAAGAAAAGAAGAGAATTTTCAAATTATTTATAAATTAATAGAGGAGATACCTAATGGTAAGTTATAGTTTTGTGTATATGTATATATGTATCATATTGTCATGTATTTTCACTGGACAGTCGTTTCGTTCTATTGTGAAACTCCACAGTGGCAGTGCACATCCACGATTCTACCTCAGAAGATTCGAACCTAGGACCTATCAGTTTCACGTGTGAGCGCGTAACCACTAGTTCACTGAGCCGGCCGGCATGCAACGGTGTTAATGTCTAACTTCAAACAACCTACAAAATTGAGTAACCATTCACCATTTGTCTTCAGTGTGTTGATATCTCCCCACAGACCTGGTTAAACTCCATTACTTATTGCTTCTCACTAGAACTACAAGACGTACCTCATGAAGCCAGTCACTAGTGATCATATGATCATTATCAGAGGGGGGGGAGGGTTTGTGGGGATTTAAGTAATAAGACGAAATGGCCAAACAGTGCTTCCAGGTTTTCCATATTGGTCTAACTTCTATTGTTTCATGATCTCAACTTTATAAAATTACTTAAATTACTTAACTTAAGAGGTGAGACTATAATTAATGGACGAGCCAATAGCAGTCCCTGATGCTTATGTACAATCGGTTCATGAATGATTTTAGCGATTCGATAATTAAACGGCTACAATGAATCGGACTATTTAGAAGTTCCTCTATTTGTAATTGTGGTAATCAAATGACTTGTAGACTTTGTGCAGGTTACAGTGATGTTGTCTTTGGATGTAATATATGTTAGAGGAAGAAGTCTGTTAGAATAGGAATTTTTTCGCTTTATCCAGATTGAGACTAAGGTATATTATAATAATTACCGCGAACTGTATAATAAAAGCACCAGTAACATTGAGTGCAATATTCGCAGATGTTACTGAAGCGTCGGCTGTTCAGTGTTATGAGTATTGTAGGCAAATATGCGTAACAAAAATGGCAAACTTACATTACTGGAGTACAGACAAACAGTATTGAAGCTGTGTGGTCGAGGCTGAGAGAGTTTTAGCTACCTTATCATGGCCGCAGAGACCGAATATTACGCAGCTATATGGATGATTTCCACTATTGTATGTATTACGATTCTAGAACCTCTGAACCTCTTTCTAACCTTGAAAAGTGTTTGAACCAAGTAAAAGAAGTGTGTCAACTTTAATTCTTTGATTTTGTATAATATATTTTTACTCTTTACTAACTGTTTTCTGATTGGTTGATATTTCACAAGGTCATTTGGGATTCGTTCAAAGGTCGTCCATAAATTACAGTCTCACCAGCTAAGATGATGTCTTTTTTGGAACTCATCAGCTGGATGTAGTTGCATCTCACAATTGATGTTCAGTCTGGGACTATCATACAATTGATAAGGGAAATGTTCCGAATATAACCAACATCCTATCTTTAGTAAATTTTGGTTATCATATGTATATTGATAGTTTCACAGTAGTTATAAGGCTTTATCATCTGTTAAATCCTAATTTCATGTTATAAGCTCAAATTTGTAATTTGTAATTTAGAGGGATTAAGTATCATATTGTTCAATATATCGTAGTTCAATGTATTCTATTCATTTCAAAGCGATAAGAGAAAGGGTGGAGCTAGCAATTCATCATCACATAATCATAATTTCATACAACATTAAAGGATGAAGTTTTAAGCTTAAAGTAAACGATGACACCTTTGAATCACTTAGTATGTATTACATAGTTCAAATGTACTACATCATCCAATTTGTTATATAACAGAAAACATTACCTACAATTATCAATAATGACCGCTTTCTTCTTGAATTACTCAACTTCTAAGGCGGGATATAAGAACGGGAAACTGAAGATCCTGAGTTCGATTCTTACCTGATATATTACGGATGTGCACTCCCGACCAGTGAATTCCATAATAGGACGTAACGACTATCCAGTACTTCCAAGTTTTGAATAATTGTCTAAATTAGACCGGTTCACGTTTACAACGAAATTCAACAATCTTCACAACCTCATACTTATAAAAAGACATAAGAAATAAAACTAATTACGAAAGTATGACTAAATGTAAATGGGATCAGAAAAATGTTCACTGGTATAATTTATAATCATTTACTTTACAACATTTGACACATTAGATTTATCAGAAAGAGTTTCATGGCAATTGTAGTAATTTATAAGTTGAGTTCATGAATCAATTGAAGCTAGACTACATAATAGTAAACGGCCACTTCATCCTATTATGAGACGCCTCAGCAGTCCGTACCCACGATACCACTAGCGAGGCACTAACTCAGGACCTGCGGATGCCAACTCATTGGTTTACAGGTTAAGCGTTTACTCATGAAACTGAAGCTCTTGAATTTGAATCTGACCAGCAGGATCGTAGATAATTATTGCTTAAGGAGTTTCATACGATTACAAAAATGCCATCTAATACTTTAAAGTTTCCCATGATACTTACTTGCTTACGCCTGTTATCCCCTGTAAAAGAGCATAGGCCGCCTTCCTGCATTCTACTTTCAACCATGTCCTGGGCAATTCTTTCCAGTGTTATTCATCCTTTTCATATCTGCTTCTATTCCCCGGTGTAATGTGTTCTTTGGCCTTCGTCTTTTACGCTTCACTTCACCTGTAGCTGTTCTGCAGCTACTGTCCGTAACAAGCTCGGATAAAGGAGGAGGGTTGGACATAAGATTAGCCACCCCATCTCTTAGAAAAATAACTAACTAAAAAAACGCCAGAGGGTTCATAGGGCTCATGACTTTCGAAAGAACTCGGCTTTCATTATGAGACGTCATAATTATTCCTTCAACTCCCAGGGCAGAATTTAAAGTTTTTGAATAACTTTTTCACGTTAGCGTTTTTTAATAACTTAGTTTTTCTACTGGATGAGGTCGCTAACTCCATGCCCAACCCTCCTCCTTTACCCGGGCTGAGAAACGGCAGTAGCCTCCTCGAAAAGCTACCGAAAGAGTTATAAAGAACGCTAACCAGAACAAAATAATTCAAACCATTTTCTATGATAATCCACCTTTGATTCACTTATAAATTAACTATCTTTTTCTTTGTTTGTTTTAACTTATAGAAAATCATTTTACTATTAATTCGACTAGTGGTATAGTTAGTTTAATTAAACAATTCAATAACCCTACAAATATAACTAAACAATTAATGATACAAGCTTCAAAGATCGGTACATTATATGATTATTCAAAGAATCTTAATTATAAAATACAAATACTGATCAATTTGACAATATTAAATTTCAAAGATCCTTTCATGGAAGAATCATCCAAATTCAGTTCTTCAGACAGAACTCCCTACAATAATGATGATCAGGTAATCATCTATTTACGAATGAATTCATCTAATTCCTTGATAAAGACTTATTCTAATTATACATATGAATTTGATATAACCCAATCAATTCAATCAGGAGATTTGGTAATATCTAATATCATTGTTTATTGTATCAAATATCCTTTATTCTACATTGAAAACTATACAAATCATTATTGTGAATTAACTATGTATAATGAAATGGATACATTCATATCAGGGGATAAACAAAACATGGATCACTTTCTTTTAAAACCGATCAAATTTTTATGTAATAATAATAATAATAATAATCAATCAAATATGTTATGTAATGGTTATACCATTCATAGGAATCATTTACTTAAAAATCAGTTGAAAGATCGATATATTCTAACAATAAAATCAACAACAACATCAGGAAGTTTCCATGGCAACATATCAAAAAATTCAAAGATATCATCAATTAAGATCATTCTTTATATTAAAAAAAATCAATATCAAAACAATCAATTTATTAAAGAACCATTTTATTTCATAAAATCAATAAATGAACCATTTAAATCAATATTTCATAAATTAAGATTAAAACCTCCTTATTGTATAACAAATTTATCAATATCATATAAAGTATATAAAGATTATGTAATTATGAATTTAAATTCAAAAAATAAAAAAAATAAAAAAAATAAAAAAATCTTTCGATTACGTCATATTTGGTTGCTAAGTCAATCTAATTTAATGAATAGTAATCATTATAATAATGAAGAAATGAAAATATGGAATGGTATACCATTTATTACATTAAATCCATATACTGGAATATTAAGTATAATAAGAGAATTATTATTAAATGATGTAGGAAAGTAAGTTGTTTTTTGTGTAATTTAATTTTTAATATCAGAAGGAGTTTGTTGGAGATTTTAGTAATTTTATGGAACTGAGATCATGAGTCGATTGAGACTGGTAGGTCCTAGGTTCGAATCTCGCTAGTGCGGGATCATGGATGCGCACTACCATTGAGGAGTTCCACAATAGTACAAAACGGCTGTCAAGTGCTTCCAGGTTTTCCATGGTGGTCTAGTTTCAACTGATTCATGATCTCAACTATATAATTTTTAATAGTTGAGATCATAAATCAATTGAAGCTAAATTAACATGGAAAACTTGGCAGTACTAGATGTCTGTTTCGTCTTATTCCTCAGTGACAGTGCGCATCAATTATCCTACTTAGCTTCAATGGATTCATAATCTCAACTATTTAAATTTTAAATATTTCATTAAAAAATTATTTACTCATAATTAAATTGTTGGTAAATACTTAAGTCAGAGGGGGTTTTGTGGAGAATTTAGTATTTTCACAGTTGAAATCATGAGTCAATTGAAGCTAGACCACCATCGAAAACCTGGAGGAGTCCCATAATAGGACGAAACGGCCGTCCAGTGCTTCCAGGTTTTCGATGGTGATCTAGCTTCAATTGACTCATGATTTCAACTATGAAAATACTGAAGTGTTTATGTATGTAAGTAACCAAGTAAACATTGATGAATAAGGAGGATTTGATACATATGTAATGTTGAGGATTGAAATAGTAAGGACCGCATTTTTACAATTGAAGAACAGATAGAACTCAAAACAACTGTCAACTTATTTCAAAGTGAGAATTTTCAATATGAAAGTCAAGACAGTTGTAGTGTATAGAGCTGAAATGTGGGGAACCACTACAACCATCGTGAAGAAGGTACAAGTGTTTATAAACAGTTGTCTACGCAAAATACTTAACATTCATTGGCTAGATACCATCAGCAAGAGCTATTTTTTAGAGAGGACAAACCAACTTCCAGCTGAAGAGGAAATTAGGAAAAGACGTTGCAGGTGGATAGGACATATATTGAGGAAATCGCCGAGTTGCATCATTAGGCAATTGCTAACTTTGAATCCAGAACAAAAGCGGAAAAGAAGGTCAAAGAACACATTACACCGGGAAATAGAAGCAGATATGAAAAGGATAAATTTTAACTGTAAAGAACTGGAAAGGATTTCCCTGGACAAGGTTGTATGTTGAATGCTGGTGTGCGGTCTATGCTCCTCCATGAGAGTTAACAGGCGGAAGGATAAGGATTGTATATAATAGTTGATGGCAATGGATAGGAATTAAAATTATGGTTTTCATTACGAACTGACATCAGCTAAAATGTCAAGACGCTATTTAGACAAATGTTTGAATGAATTTTGCTCCAAAATCCAAGAACTATTATCGTGAACGTTATTGATTCGTCCATAAATTATAGTCTCACCCACTCAGATTCAAAATTTTTAGTCATCTACCATTATTCAGTTAATAATCCAATATAATGTATCCGATATCTAGTTACTAAGACTAGTTTTCACACTGAAATTGTTAATCATAAAATTTGATCAACACTAAACGAGTGAATGAATATGATGTTATTAGTCAATTGAAGCTAGACCATCATGGAAAACCTGTAAGCACTGAATGGCCGTTGGACTCTTCAGAAGTGCTCAGTGCTTCCACGTTTTCTATGATGGTCTAGCTTCAATTGATTCGTTATTTCAACTTTTAAAAAATGACTAAAATCTCCACAAAAACCCTTTCTGATAAATATGATAATAGTTGAAATCATGAGTCAATTGAAGCTAGACCACCATCGAAAACCTGGAAGCACTGGACGGCCGTTTCGTCCTATTATGGGACTCCTCAGCAGTGCGCATCCACGAACCCGCTCTCGCGAGCGAGATTCGAACCCAGGACCTACCAGTCTCGAGCCGAAGCCCGTTGGTTGCCAGCTCAGTGGTCTATCGGTTAAGGGCTTCGGCTCGAGACTGGTAGGTCCTGGGTTCGAATCTCGCTCGCGAGAGCGGGTTCGTGGATGCGCACTGCTGAGGAGTCCCATAATAGGACGAAACGGCCGTCCAGTGCTTCCAGGTTTTCGATGGTGGTCTAGCTTCAATTGACTCATGATTTCAACTGTGAAAATACTAAATTCTCCACAAAACCACCTCTGAAATATGATAATAGTCATTAATTATGATATTGTAAATATAAATCTGATAAACGATTTAAAAAAAAAAAACAAATTTATTTTCATTAGTGTGAATAAACAATATTCAATACCTTTCATTGAACTAATCTCATCAATAAAATCTAAGTTAAAATCTAGATTTGAGCATTTACTTGGTATCTTTAAAGCCTTAATAAATAACATAGAAATGGATAATACATAATAAATACTTGAGATGTTGTACAAGATTTGTATCTAAGGTGGTTGATTTTAACGAAGTGTTTGCTCTGTGAACTCGAATTTTGTGCTACTAATGTTGTTCAGAAAGACAATGATGAAAACTTCACGATCAAACTATCCAGTTCATAGAAAAAAACTCTATCAAAATAATGACTTGATTATTTGATATTATAATGATAAGAAAATAAATTTGTAAATCATAATAGACATTTCCGTTTTTTATTCAGTTAAATGTTTTGTTATATAACTATGTTCAAAATGCTGTGTCCCCCCTTTTGTTTTAAATGACAGTTGATTTGCACATAGATAGATTTTAGGAGAAGAAGGATAATTCAGCAAAATTTTTTTATATAGTTAAAATCAATTGAAGCTAGACCACCATAGAAGACGTGGAAGCACTGGACTGCCGTTTGGTCCTCTTGTGGGACTTTTCAGTGGCAGTGCGCATCCACGATCCCGCCTCGGAGGATTCCAACTCAAGATCTACCAGTCTCGCGCCAGTGCACTTAACTGATAGACCACTGAGCCGATATCCAGTTTCTAACCTCAACCAATCAGTAGAAAGTTATATGATTCTTTATTAGCTATTAAGTTAATACATTTGAGAGTAATATGAAAAGATAGAGATATACAGTAACATATCGATTAATGTAGATTTACTCTTGAGAACTGAGATCTTCATTATAGTTATTAGGCCCAAACCAATAAAAATATCGATTTTATTACTTACTTAATTTGACCTGTTTAAAATTGTTGTTAAATAAATGAATTGTTTGAGGACAAAAATACATTTTAAGCAAAGATGGACATTGGCTAGGAGTGGAATCCAGGACATGTGTCTCGTCCTTTTTGGGGCTGAATGTACTTGCATCTCAGAGTTGATGTTCACTCTGAAGCTCGTACCCAGTACCTTTCACTTCAAATAAGACGGTACACGTGTCCTGGATTCCACCGTTAGTTACTGCTCATCTTTTCTGATATTGCTTGTGAACTAAGGCTATATCGAAGCAATACGCACAGTGTGTACATATGACAATAAGAGATTGATGAATTGCAGTTTTAAAAATCAATGGAAAGATTGAAACAAATAATACTATGTGAATTCAAATAATCCACTTTATTTCTAATGATCTGACGTTTTGTGACTCAGTGTAAGCCACTTCTTCAGTAAATAAAAAACTAAATTGGTTTATATATTCTCTGAAGAAGTGTATTACACCAAATCACGAAACGTCAGAAAATCTAATTTTCCTACTCATTTGGATATGAAGTGTCGGTTGGTGTGTTGAGCCCATATACCATATTATAGCTTCAGGACAAGCCAATTTACCTTGTTTATTATTCACCTATTAACCCTGACCATTTTTATATGAGCGTAGGTGTGTGTACATTTCTTATCCTATTTATCACATGTCTGAGTATGAATATTGATAAGCGCTTGATTAAAGTGAATCTGACTTACCCGCCATCTCTTATGCATGTCGTTTTTACGTTGCTCACTGATATATGCATCATACGCTGATAACTTTCTGACCTGCGTCATTTGTCAATGAAACTCTAGTTGCCACTTCTCTTTGCCTTCTGATTTTATGCACCGTTAAGATTTTTATTATAACCGTTATCAAGGTGAACGATTACCGAAGCACGGAACTACAGATATTACCATGCTCAATTTATTTAGGATTATCAAATTAAAACTTGCTTATGATATTTCTGTAAAATAATATTATATGTGAAGCTTTAGATTCTTGCTATGCTGCGTATTACTAGACCACTTGAACGATCGCAAGAGAGAAGATAGAAGACTAGTCAGCAGGAATTTTATTACCCAAACAGTGTCAAATATAGTACGAAAATCTGATAGTTTTCTGGCTGAAAGTAAGCCATCGTTTCGGATAGCCAATAAGTACATACGGGGTCTTTCTTATTCATTCAATAGTGGAAACTACACGTTGCCATTCTAGAATGTTTCCCTATCATTGATTGGATGGAATGTTGTCGGCTCTTTCTTGGCTTCTTGAAGCTTTCTTGAGTTTGCCAACGAGCCATCCTTACATTTACTAAGATAAAAGTAGTGTATTTCAGTAGTGTCTTCACTCGTATTTTTCAAATTTTCATGAATTTTCCTTATTGTTTTGTAGATATATATTATACATAGATATACAAGATTATAATTCACTTGAGTTATATAATATAACATGTATTATATATCTTAATATATTACCAATGGAATTACATCATAGACCAGTGAATGATTTACCTGATACCATATCAAATCATCCCATATCTATCTCTTCTTCTATTCATTCCTCCTATTCAACATCACCAACATCATCATCCACACTAAGTTTTCCTGTACATTCCCCTATAAATTCATCTACATCTAATCACCATGACAATAAGAATGTATATAATTTAAAAAAACAAAATATCAATAATTTTTTAAAATTTTTCACTCAAAATATTGATTTCATTAAAACAAATAAACATTTACTATTCCCTATTATTATTAGTATTATTACTATAATAGTAATAATAATAATAATAATAATAATTATTATGTATCGTCATAAATTGAAATCGAAATTACATAATCAATATAAATCGAATATCAATATATCGATTGATGAACAAAATCGATTATTATGTTTATCATCCAAACAACAAAATGAAGATATACTACTTACAACAATGAATGATAATAATAATAGTAGTATTGATAGTATTCATACAAATAATTATAATTTTAATCATAATGAAATGAATACACATTGTAATATAAATGAATTCATTCAATTCAATTATTATAATCCTACATTGAAATTATATTATACAGATTCATTATATAATGAAAATATAAGTAGTATAGGAAATATGATGAATTCAAGTAAGCTACTTTGTTTTTTGTTTTTTTTTTCATGAAAATGTCATATACTACTGTTTCAGTATAAGATATGTCATTCTTACTTACTTACTTACTTACTTACTTACTTACTTACTTACTTACTTACTTACTTTTACCTGTTACCACCATTTGGAAAACAGGCTGACGACCAACATTCTACAACACACTCACTCTGTTATGGACCTTTTTTTCCAGCTCTATCCAATTCTTGTTTATTCTTTTCATGTCTTTATCCATTTTTCAGAGTAGTGTATTCTTTGGTCTTTTTCTTCTCTTTTGACCTTGAAAATTCTAGGTGAGTGCTTACCTTGTGACATAGTTGTGTGATTTTCTCAATGTATTGTGTCCTATTCACTTTCAGTGCTTCTTTCTGATTTCTTCCTCCGCTGAAATATTGTTTGTTCTCTCCCACAGTGGCTTGTTGCTGATAGTGTCTGATCAACGGATCTTAATTATTTTGCGTAGGCAACTGTTAATAAATACTTGTATCTTTCGAATGATAGCTTTTGTAGTTTTCCAAATTTACGTCCCGTACAATATAACTGTGTTTATATTTGTATTGAAATTTGTGAGTATGTTGTTGGTTGAGAGACAGTTGTTTTGAGTTCCAAATGTTCAACAGTTGTAAATATGCTGTGCTTGCTTTATGGATTTGCATCAAATCCAGTGTGTTCATCAATGACGCTGTCATATGATATTTCTTTTTTCAGGTATAAAATCATATTTGATTATCGATTTCTGTTCAGTTAACTTTATCAAATGAGTATTTTCATAGTTGAATTCATGAGTCGATCTACGCTAGACCATCATTGCAAACCTGGAAGTACTATCGGGCAGCCGTTTTGTCCTAACATGGAACTCCTCAACAGTGCTCACACACAATTTCGCACCAAAGAGAGTTAAACCCAGGACCTTCAGTCTGGTGAGCAAACGCTTAATCTCTAAATCACTGAGTCGGCATTCAAAGCTGTTATTGTCTTACTTCAATCGACCCACGATCACGTGCATCACTTCATCTGTTGTCTGAAGTGGATAGCTGTCTCACATCCGACAAGGATTGGACTCCACTGGTGTCAGCTTCTCATTAGAGCACCAATAAATCCATCAAGAAGCTAGTCGCAAGTGAGCACATGATAATTATTATCAGAATGGGGATGTCTGGAGATTGCATTATTTCGACAATTGAAACAGCGAATTGATCTTAAGTAGACCACCATTGAAAACCTTGAAGTACTGGACGACCGTTTCGTCCTGGTATGAGACTCTTTAGCAGTGATCAAATATGATCCAGCACTCGGGAATACAGTTAAATGAGCTCTATTCACTTCATTCTTACTTATTATCATTATTTACTCATTACGTAACCACTTGTTTCTAACCTTTTGGAATCTTGTTACCTACAATGTTGTGGGATATTCTTTTATATAAGTTATATGTTTATAATATTTGATTAAGTCAATTAAGTTTATTTACACCCTTGCTATACACTACTGATGTGCTTTTAAAGTAACTATCGACCAAACTGTTTTGTGTAAGTAATTTACAACCTATTTTGTAATAATGATTTATAAATATCACAGATTGTAAACCTTTGATGAGAAGCAAACGAAATAAAGTGACTTCATCTTACTCTTCTCAAATGACTGTTCTTGCTCTCTTCAAGATTTTGAATGGAACTATTAGTATGAAATGTAAATTAGCATATTTAGGCAATAGAGTAATTAAGCTTTCGAAGAAAAGATAGAAATCTATTTTGATTGTAAGGTATTTCGTTTTTTTCCCTATGAATCATAATAATCTCGTTGGATGCCGGCTCAGTGGTCTATCGGTTCAGGGCTCCAGCTCAAGACTGTTAAGTACTGGGTTCGAGTCTCGCAAGTGCGGGATCGTGGATGCACACTGCTGAGGAGTCCCATAATAGGACGAAACAGCCGTCCAATGTTTCCAGGTTTTCGATGGTGGTCTAGCTTCAATTGACTCACGCTTTCAACTGTGAAAATACTAAATTCTCCACAAAACCCCCTCTGATCTATAAAGTAGTTTTGTCAAATATTAGCATGTGTTGAAATATCTTCTAGATAATACTTATTGTTTCATATATCTTTTGTCCCGATAACTCTCAACGGTGATTAAATGTCAAAAGACAATAGGAAGCGTTGTATACAAACATACTATTGTTTAATGAAGATCATAAAGTCACAAGCGTACAAAGCTAATAGTTAGAGATATGGGAACGCAAATGAATGTCATCGAACACCAGCTTGAGAAAAAAAGCGAGGAAAAACGTAAGTGAATCGATAAAATTCAAGCATATATGTATAAGGCAAGCAAATGGGTCACTGAAGAATTTAAGCGACTAACGTTAAACTATAAAGAGGTATATATACTTAGGCTGTTAAATGTAATTAAGCGCACATACTCATATAGACATAATAATAATAAATGAATATACTCGTCAGCTGAGTGTACCTGGATCTCAGATTTGTTGATGTTCACTCTGGAACTCGAATCCAGTACCCTCGCTTCAAACGCCATCGCGTTATCCACTCGTCCACTGAGTCCTGATAGCCACTTGCTTGTGCGATGGGGTGAAGTTTAAATTCAACTTAGTATAGGACGAAACGCACGTCCTGGATTCCACTGCTAGCCACTATCCATCTCTGCTAACCATGCTTGTGAATTAAGGCTATATCGAGGCAATACGCACAGTATGCACATATGCCAATTAGAGACTGACCAGTTGCAGTCCTAACTCATCGATGGGAAGATTCAAACAAACAATACTAAGTTGAATTTGAATATAATTTTGATATAAAACAAATTGTTTATTGTGATCGGATATAAACAGTCAATGAATTTTTACTGCCCTGGAGATCTGATTCCAGTTAGATCATTTGTCGCTTGTTATCGAAATATAAATATCACCAATCCTCGTTTATAATCATAGACTTAAACAGAGTTGATGAATAACGGAATTAAATAAGTTAAATATGAGAATGAAGTATTGAAAATGTATATTTTGTATAATCTTTGATCAGAACAGACAATCACAGAGACGGAGCGAAGGAAGCAAAGATATGAGTGTGAAATGAAACAGATTGAAGAAGGCATGTAAGCAAACTCGTTCTAACCAAGCGTTAATCAGTATTTATAGTCAAACAAAAATAAGTTGGACATGTAATGATTGCGATAGGAAATGAACACACCTAGGCTTACATAATAGCAGTGAAGTTTGACAAGCGAATAATTACCAAGTTCCAAATGTGACTCAAGAAGAATAAATAAATTGGCTTTTTCGTTTTTGTAATCTGTGAACTTCTTCCCCCTGAAGTTTGAGATTATGCTATTCATTATTACATTTTCACACGTTAACAAAGAGATATTTGGATAGTAGTCAATCTTCTCACATAATTGCTCTAATTAGTTATTCGGTAGATTTAATTCGTTGAATTAAATAATGTTTACATTATCATGGCAAATCTCTTTATTATTCGTTGAACATGTGAGTAAATATCTGGAATCATTGTCTATATGAATAACATGTTGAGCGTTCGAAGCATAATATACAGGGTTTGAGTCGGAGAGTGAGCATCAACTCTGAAACTCAGGTAAATCAAACGATAGATGAGTACAAAATGAGAAGAAAGAAGTGTCAAATATTCTACCACTAATCACATTCCAACATTTTTGTATAAATTTGTGTCATGATGACTATATTTAAACAATTCACAATATAAATTCACTTGGTATTATCTGCTTATATCTTCCAATTATTGTTTAGGACTGCAATTGATCAATCTCTTATTGGCATTCTGTGCGAACTATCTCGATATTGACTTACGTCACAAGCTCTATAAGCTAGATAGATGGCGGCTAGGATTTAAATTCAGGACGCGCTTTTCGTCCTGCTTGTGCAAACAGGTAGCTATCAGGACTCAGTAGTGGTGTTTGAAGCGAACGGTACCAGTTTTAAGTTCTCGAATGAACATGAACTCTGAGATGCAGTTACATTCAGCTGACAAGTCCCAAATAGGACGAAACGCGTGTCCTAGATTCCACTTCTAGCCCCCATCCATCTTTGCTTATTTTACAAGATAATTTAAAACATTGTCAGTATAGTTATGAGATTGATTTTAACCGATAGTTTAATGAAAGTTATTCACAGAACAGTTTTAAATGTTTATCATTTCATTAAATGTTTTCATTCTCTTCTTCTTGTTGTTGTTGCTCCTAGATGTTGGATACCATATGATTCATGAAAATGAACCTGTTTACACTTGGTTAAATACAATTGAAGATGAACAACATTTATCACCTATTCATCATTCATTTACTGATCCTACTGTTGTAAATAATTTTTATAATGATTATATAGAAGAAAATCCACAGATAACTATGACAGAAACAAGATCAAATATGTAACAAAGAGAAGATTATTATTATTATGATTGTTCCATTGTTATTATGTGATTGCTATATTACTGATAAGACGAGCTTTCATTCAATTTGTATAAACTGGGATACTATAGTGGTTTTCCTTCTTTAATCAATCATCTTTATAACCGTAATTATGTAGATCCCAACGGTGTTTAAAATTAGAGGGTAATAGGAAGTGACGACTTCAGTTTATTAGCGAATAGAGGACAGACAATAAAGTTATAAGCACATCATGAGAATTCGAAGCAGAGCGACGAATTGATGGTCAATTCAAATCAAGGCGCAGCTAGGCAAAGCAAAGGCTAATAATAGGATTTGAGTATATATATATATATATATATATATATATATATATATATATACATGGAAATGAGAATGATTGATCGAGCGATATTGGCGAGACTATAATTTGTGGATGAGCCAATCAGAAGCGTTTAAGGGATTTTAAGGTCACGGCGCCTACTTCAGTACCTGATGCTCATGTACGATCGGTTCACAGAGAATTTTAGAGAAGACTTGATAAATAAGAGGCTACAACAAATGAAACTACTAAGAAGTTCCTGTAATTGTAATTACGAGTATTAAATGACTTGTAGACCATGTGCAGGCTACCGTGATGTTGTCCTTCCATGTAATATATGTTGAAGGAAAACTTTTGCTAGAATAGGAACCTTTATTGCTTGATCCAGATTGAGATTAAGGCATATTATGATAATTGCCGCGAACTGTATAATAAAAGCACCAATATTATTGGCTGCGATAATCGCAGATGTTACTGAAGCTTCGGCTGTTCAGTGGTATGAGTATTGTAGGGACATGCAAAATAAAAATGATAAACCTACACAATCGGAGTACACAAACAATAATGAAGCTATGTGGTCGAGGATGAGAGGGTTTTTATGTCCTTAGCATAGCTCCAGAGACCACTTATTATGGAGCAATATGGATGAGTTCCTCTACCTTATGCATTACGATTTTGGAACTCTTTGAACCTTTTTCTAACTTTGACAAGTTTTTGGACCATATAAGAGAAGTGTATCCACTTTAATTCTTTGGCTTTATATAAAATATTTTTACTCTATGCTGACTGTTTACTGATTGGCTAACATTTCTCAAGGTTACTTAAGATTCGTTCAAAGGTCGTCCATAAATTATAGTCTCGCCGCGATATTTAAGCGATGAACATTTTAACTAGAGAGATATATGTGCTCAAACTGTCATTCGATCAAGCATACACGTTCATACAGATATGATAGTAATTATAATCATACAAAGAAATAGATGACTTATTACCGTTCGAATAACATCGTCTGTTAAGTAAGTTAATAAAAAGGACTTAACCAAATTTAACCATAATCAAAATTGATTGTAGGAGAATTGCTATAACACAATTCTGAATTAGGAATGCGGTAAACAATTTCATTGATAGTATATCAGTTATAGAAGTTTAGTAGTACGGTATTCGTTCACATCAACGACTTGATTTATATCTGAACACATTGTCTTCAGGAGAAATGATTTAATAGCGACTGTAATTCATATTCAATCCTTGTGTTATATTTTTTAACTGCAGCCTAATTACTGTCATATAAGCATCTGAATACTAACACTTGGTTTCACACATAGAACATTGTGGCTTAAAGCTAAGGACATAAACCTGGACATAGTACACTACCAAAATGATCATATTATTATTAACCTATTTAGTGGAGATTTATCGCTTAAGTGAATGATAGTGTTACAATTTCATTCTTTGAGCTGGACTGCTTAATAGTGAAGCTTTCACTATTCTACTTAACAACATTATCAACAAAAACTTTAGGCAAAAGTGAAGTAGAAATTACACAAAATGATTGTTGAGGCAGTTTCAAATAGGTGTAACTCATAAACTAACGAAATCACTTCAATCAATCCTATACAAACTAAAGGATGGAGTAACAAAAGAAGAAAACCTTTGGTGGTCTAGCTTCAATTGACTAATCATTTCAACTGTGAAAATACTAAATTCTCCACAAAACCCCCTCTGATCTATAATCATATGCTCACTAGTGACTGACTTCGAGAAGTACATTCAGGAGTTCTAGTGAGAAGCAGTGACCAGTGGAGTTTAAACCACGTCTGTTGTAAGATATCAACTGACTGAAGACAATTAGTGAACGGTTGCTCAGCTTCGTGGATCAGTTGAAGTTCGACATTAACACCACTGGATACCGGCTAAGTGGTCTATCGGTTAAGGGCTTCGGCTCGAGACTGGTAGGTCCTGGGTTCGAATCTCGTGGGTGCCCTGCTGAGGAGTCCCAGTATGGGACGAAACGGCCGTCCAGTGCTTCCAGGTTTTCGATGGTGGTCTAGCTTCAATTGACTCATGATTTCAACTGTGAAAAAAAGAAGAAAAGTTACTTACTATCTACAAAATATACCAACTGAACTTAGATAAATACTTCATCAAACAATGTTGACGCTTTTTGTCTATATAAACATCAACTAGCTGTCAAACTCTATAATCTATCTTCACCTACTTACTTACTTACTTACTTTCGCCTGTTACTCCCAATGGAGCATAGGCCGCCGACCAGCTTTCTCCAACCCACTCTGTCCTGGGCCTTCTTTTCTAGTTCTTTCCAGTTCTTGTTAATTCTTCTCATGTCTGTCTCTATTTCTTGGCGTAATGTGTTCTTTGGTCTTCCTCTTCTCCTTCGACCTTCAGGATTCCATGTGAGGGCTTGTCTTGTGACACAATTGGGTGATTTCCTCAAAGTGTGCCCAATCCACTTCCAGCGCTTCTTCCTGATTTCTTCCTCCGCTGGAATCTGGTTTGTTGTCTCCCACAGTAACTTGTTGCTGATAGTGTCTGGCCATCGGATCCGAAGTATCTTGCGTAGACAGCTGTTAATAAACACTTGTGTCTTCTGGATAATAGCTTTCGTATTTCTCCACGTCTCCGCCCCATACAGTAGAACTGTCTTCACATTTGTATTGAAAATTCTAACCTTGGTGTTGGTTGACAATTGTTTTGAGCTCCAGATGTTTTTCAGTTGTAGGTATGCTGCTCTTGCTTTGCCGATTCTCGCCCTCACATCTGCATCTGATCCACCGTGTTCATCAATGATGCTGCCCAGATCTTCACCTACAGCAAGGCAAAAATAAATATGAAATATGAAGCTGTGGATATTGTTGAGTTTCATTTAAACCATCAACCAATCTAAGTTAGACCACTAGGGAAAATCAGAAAGCACTACACGACTGTTTCATGCGACTATGGAAATTTTCAATAATGAGCATCCAGATTACTTACTTATTTACTTACGCCTCTTACTCCCTATAGAGCATAGGCCGCCGACCTGCATTTTTCAACACACTCACTCTGTCATCGGCCTTCTTTTCTAGTTCTATCCAATTTTTGTTCATTCTTCTCATGTCTGTTTCCATTTCTCGGCGTATTCTTTGGTCTTCCTCTTCTCCTTCGGCCATCAGGATTCCATGTGAGTGCTTGTCTTGTGACGCAGTTGGGTGTGTCCTATCCACTTCTCTTTGATTTCTTCTTCCGCTGTAAACTGGTTTCTTATCTCTTACAGTAGCTTGTTGCTGATATTGTCTGGCTAACGGATCCGAAGTATCTTGCGTAGACAACTGTTAATAATGATTCTGCCCAGATATGTGAAGGTTTCCGCATCCTCCAAAGCTTCTCCGTCAAGTGTAATTCGATTGGTGTATGTTGTATTGTATCGGAGAGTCTTCCTTTTCCCTTTGTTTATATTGAGACCTACTGCTGCTGAGGCTGCTGTTACATTGGTCGTCTTCTCCTGCATTTGTTGCTGCGTTTGTGATATAAGAGCCGGATCATCTGCGAAGTCTTAATCATCCAGCTGCATCCTAGCTATCTACTGTATCCCTTGTTTCTCTCCAGATGATGACGTCTTCATGATCCAGTCGATCACCAGGAGAAAGGAGGGCGTCCAGATAGTAACAGATTAAAAACCAACTACAACCAATCAAACATAAAGTTGACAAGATAAACTGTCAGTCATATATGTAGAAATTCAAATACCTCATTTCTGCCTGACGTTTACGCTGATGTTGTCCAGCTGAAACGTCACGATTGACTAGTCCAGCTCAGTGAACAAAATTCTTATGAAATAATCTGAACAACATTTATCTCGTTCAATTCATAATATTCACATTAGAATTCATTAGGAATTCATTATGTGAAAACAGAGTATTCTATTTTGATGTGGGTTTGTTCTCTGAGCTGAATGGTTTGGTCGTGGAGCTTTCATCGTCCTTCTGAACGACATCATCAGCACAAATTTCGGGTAGACTTCTGATGTACAACAAACCTACATCAAAATCATCCACCTGAGCTACAAATCATCTTCACCATCTCAAGAGTATTCTATTTAATGATCATATTTATATCAACTGTATGGAAGGAAATATGGCACATAGAAACAAACATAAAATTAATAATTTCTAGGCTTATGTTAATATTATAGATTCCTTCCAGCCATAGGAACATGGTAAAGCCTAGTAGGTCCTTCTGGAGAAGAGTACTACATCGAAGCACGGCATAACTACCCAGGCGGGATAGCTGATTTTGTACTGCTTACGCAGAATGATTACATAACACTCTCATTCGGTGTTTTGTTTTTTGAGCAGTATCCTTTTTTAACCATCCTTTTGTACCCTCAATAGTTATGCAATGACTCTATGTATCATTAGTAATCGTTTGCGTGTATTGTTAGAGTAGTTGATTAGGCCGAACTCGACCACCCACATTAACGCTCACGTTAGTACATGGGATAATTGCCATGATCAGGAGGCACAACGAGGATGTGTGAGTCGGATTTTGCCTCTCAGTATAATAGATTAGTAACTATTAAATAATACAATTTAAATGATCCAAAGTCTTATTTGTTTAAATGATAAACATTAATAAAAATAGGTATGTGTGAAATATAGACTACAACCTAGCGTGTTTCTTATTTCCTTTTATTGTTCAGTTAAGTGAATTAATCATTTAAAGATAAATGAAAGAGGGGTGATTTATGTTTTCCAAAAAAATTTTTAAAAAGTTTAAAAGTTGTCAAGGTAATCAAATTAGCCACCCCTCCCCCCCCCCAAAAAAAAATAGACAAAAAGAGAGATAAGGAATATTAACATTCATCTTATTATTTTCATAGTTGAAATCATGAGTCAGTTGAAGCTAAACCACCGAGGAATACCTGGAAGCACTGGACGGCCGTTTCGTCCTATTGTGGGACTATCATGTTAAGACTTAGAATTTTAACTGAATATTTTACC